CTACAATCCAAAACACACTGGACTGTTTACCTGGCATGTCCAGAACCTGACGTGTTCCCAATTAGGCACCTTCCCAGAACCTGGACCTCTTTCACGCTAGAAGAGCACGGTGATCCAAAAAGATGTTTTAGCAAGTAATATGTGTATTTATAAAATTCCCATTCAGTGCTTTCGAACAACTGGTACTCTCCAAAAACAACAACAAAATAAAGTCAGAAGGGGCCATTTCCAGCCAGACTCCTGGGGCACCACTGCTCCAACAATGTGGGCCCCTCCTTCATCACAGGTGGGGACCATGCGACCCATAATGAGCCCAGGAAATCATGCCACCATCACATCCACCACAGGACAGCAAATGCTCTTCAGCTATTATACGGATAACCACTTTTAAAATCTTTTTAAAGCAAATCTGTTGTTGGCATAGTTCTACTGTTTAGAATCTCAAAGGATCTTCATTCTGCAGATAACAGGAATTGACTAAATAGGGTGTTGATTCACTAAGCCTATAAAAACCTTGTTCCAAACTGCTAACAAATTGTCAAAGATGTATGACAAAGAGCAAAGTCCTATGTGCCTTTTCAGAAGAATTAGATTAGTAGCAGAAAGAATCTTAATTCCAAACCCTTTAAAAGTCAAGCAAAGGAGGATTTTGGTATATTCTGCCATGAAAATAGAAGCCTACAAACACATCAAGCGCTGTAACCTTTCACAAACTAAAGGCATAAAACAGAAAACAGATTTCAGAGTGTATAAAAGGGAGGTATTATACAATTTTGAAAAGCTAAAAAATAGAAAAAGATGAAAAATACCTATTTCTTCTGGAAACAAAAAGTATAATTATATATTTTTAGAAAATGAACATTATGTGCAATGAATGCATGTTACATCAATATACACACAAAGTAGAACAATCGTCAATGACCTTGACAATGAAGAGATAAGAAGCTTGGTGTAACAGTGAGAATTACAAGACTCAGCACTAACCAAGTTCCCCTAGAAATAGGAAACAAGCACTCAAGGTCACAGGCCATGTACAATTCTTCAAGAGAAAGATCTGAGGGAGCACTTCTTACGAGTTGCTTAAGAATAAACAAAAGTATTAAGCAGGTTCCCAGAACCTCCTCTAGTTGTGTAAATACCATCAATGGAAGGATGCTTCAGAAGCCCAGCTCTTCCATCATAGAGATGAGAAGGAGCAGCATCTTCCAAACATGGGGTCGACAAGCTTTCCAAGGCAGAGTGCTCAGGTTCAGCTTCGGGTCTTCTGATGCAGACAGCTCAAGTATGGAGAAGACCCACCCGGAACTCCTGAAGGAGAAGCAGGCCAGCCACCCTGCAGAGAGCCTAATTAAGGAGTCCTGGATCTCCTGATTCTGGGGTTCAAGCAGCACTGCACACTGAGCCCAATCTTGCTGAACAGGTATCCTTCAAAAAGCTAGAGTACTCCTGGTGGGGATTTACAATCATATCATGATATGAACAAACTCAATCATAGTGCTTTAGGGCCAGAAACTCACTAACCCCTCATTTTACAGACGAGCAGCAGAGACTGGGACACCCTCACGATTCAGTAGCTAGTGGGAACTGGAATACAGTGGAAAGCATATAAAGCACTAACTAGTACTAGTATCACTAGTTAGTATCCAAAGAGGCAGGCACCCCCCAATCATCATTATAAACACTATTCTACCTTAGTACTCTTTCCACCAAACTCAGTAAGATCAGCCACAACGCAGACAGAGGACTTCTGACAGGGAAAGGAAGAAGAAAATGTGACCGTAAAGGAAACCCACAGGGAGGTTTGGCCCGCCAGAAGTCTGGCTGTGAGAGAAACAGAAATGTCAGAAGTTGGAAGACAGGACCCTCAGGAGATATGGGAGGACAAAGGTGTTGTCAGGTGCGAGTACAATTACATCCAAGAAAAGTATCTTAACTCTCTGAAGCACAAGAGGTGTTTAAAAGGTCCTGAGGAAGGGGTGAGGGAGAAATTTCAAGAAAGATGGCCAGAGAGGATCACACAGCAAAGCTCTCCCACTCTGGCTTCCCCGTGAAAACTGGCCCATGGGCCCCCAGCACTCCTGTCATACAGCCAACCCCAGCCTCAAACTGGCGGGCCTGAAGAATTCAACACGGCTTCACAGACTTAGTTATGAAGATTATGTCACAGATATTTGAGTCAAGAAATGACTGCAGCCTTGGCCAGTGTGGCCAGGTGGCTGGAGTGTCATACGTGTAAAACAAAATATCAGAGGTTCAATTCCCAGTCAGGGCACATACCTAGGTTGCAGATTCGGCCCAGTCCCGACGAGAGGCAACTGATTGACGTTTCTCTCCCTTTCTTTGTCCCTCCCTTCCTCTCTCTCTAAAATCAATAAGCATGTTCTCATGTGAGGAAAAGAAAGGGAGAGAGGGAGGGAGGAAAAGAGGGAAGAAGGGGAGGGTTGCAGATCAGAGTAGCAAATCACATGTAGTACCAATACTTTTCAAAGAAATAAACAGTAGCTCAAAACCCAAGGCCATACCTATGAAAAGTAGTTTAAAATCAAATATATGGATACCAAATCAAATCAACAAAGATTTAAGGTTCAACCACTTTATAAAAACAGAAAAGAGAATTTTAAGATAACATTAAAACTAGTAGTTGTGAAAAGCAGTGAGATCTCTTGGCTTTAGTCCAGCTTTGTGGCCTGTGCTACACAAATGATGTTTCCTAATCCAAAAAACACGCCCGGTAATAAGCATCGCGTGTGCCTTCCAGAAATTTGATTTAAACTAGTTAACGATCATAAAGCAATCTAAAAAAGTAAACGGCATGTGAATCCTGGGCATAACTTTGGAAACGCATTTGATTTTGGTCAAAGAGCAGCATCTGATATTCTGAAGTATTCAGCAGCAGTAAAAAGGGAAAAATCATGAATTTCTTTCCTAACAAAGAAGTCTGTGCTATTAACTAGTCTAGTCTTAACACACAAAGTTTTGGAACATTTTAAAACTTAAAACCTTTTATTTTTACCCTCCCATTCCCTGCTCCTCACCCATTTCTTCTTTTTTATTTTCCTTGTCTCAGATAAGATTATTTTCCCCCCAAAAAATCTTACTATTCTTTTTCTCCAACAAATTCACTCGTATTAGAATATATTATCAAATCTCACTTCAACTCACCTCAAACCTTGAGTCCATCTGACGCTTGGCACCTGGGAGCCTACTTTAACCTGGAACGCTCCCAGAGCACCACCTGGTTAGAGCGCCTTGGACTCTCCATGAACCTCTCCCCTAAAGGACCGCCCCCCGCCGGCAAACATACACTCTGGGTAAGAACAGTGTGGCTTTAAGACATCTCCTGGTATCGCCTCCTCCTTCCCGCCAAATTCCAGCCCCAGAGCCCCCTCATTTAGAAACTGCAGAGCCTCCACTGTTCCCCGAAGTCCTCAAAATAGGGGATGGCTGGGCCCTGACTTACTCTTCATCCCCCCGATGGGGACCGCCTTCCTGCAACCGTGACTCTTCTAGGAGGCAGCTGTCTTCAGGGGACATCAGGTTAATGCTGTCAGAGTCTGCTATGGACCCACTCATAATAACCATTCTATTTACTGTGCCCACAATCACGTAATGTGTCCCCAACATACCCTGCAGCTGTGCACCTACATGATAAGATGTGATGCTACATGTGGGTTTAAGGAGCGGAAACTAGTTTTGTCATTTAATAACATCAGAAGTATTTCAATGTATTTTAACTGGAGAATGTACTTAGTTTGGGGTAAGAATACCGCATCCAAATTTTAAGAGACCCTAGTTTTTGCAAAATACATAGAATTCTCAAGAACTCTCAAAATAAAATTAATTAACCTGCTCTTTCTCGTGGTGCCTCGGAGGCGGTGGGATGCTTCAGGGGGACGCTGACCGTCTCCTTCCCAGACTCTGGTAGCCAGAAAGTCACTGAAGCCGACGACGAATGCAAACTTCGTACCGTTTATGAGAAGCGTATGGCCAGAGAAATTGCTGCTGGGTGAAGAATGGAAGGGTTATGTGGTTCAAATCAACAGTGGGAACGACAAACAAGGTTTCCCCACGAAACAGGGTGTCTTGACCTATGGTCATGTCTGCCTGCTGCTAAGAGACATTCCTTCCTGTTAGAGACCAAGGGAGACTGGAGAGACAACGTGCAAATCTGTTCGGGGCTGCACTGCGGACACCAATCTCAGTGTTCTCAACTTGATCATTGTGAAAAAAGGGGAGAGAGAGATTCCTGGTCTTCCTGATATTCCTATGCCTCAATGCCTGGGGCTCAAGAGACCTAGCAAAATCCACAAACTTTTCAGTCCCTCTAAAGAAGATAATGTCTGTCAATATGCGGTGAGAAAGCCCCTTAACAAAGACCTGTAAGAAACCTAGGACCAAAGCATCCAAGATTCAGTGTCTTGCCATTCCACATATCCTGCAACATGAATGTTGGCGTGTTGCTCTGAAGAAACAACGTAAGAAGGAAAACAAGGAAGAGGCTGCAGAATATGCTAGACTTTTGGCTAAGAGAATGAAGGAGGCCAAAGAAAAACGCCAGGAACAAATTGCCAAGAGAGGTAGGCTGTCGTCTCTGAAAGTTTCTGAGTCCAGTGAAAAATGAGATTTTCTGAGAGCAACACGTAAATAAGAACAAACACTAAAAAAATTAACCTGTTCAACTTTTTAAAACTCAGTTTTCCAGACAGCAATCTTTAAATGAATCAGACATCAAAGAATCGACGCTGCAACTTGAAAATGGGGAAAAACAGTTACGAAATCACAGAGCTTCAGAGAGATTATTTAATCCACTGGTCCTCAAAACAGCCCACTGAACAGCAACGGCAGCATGACCTGGAAGCCTGTAAGAAGTGCAGATCATTAGGCTCCCTCAGACCTACTGAGTTGGAAACTCTGTGGTGGGGTCCAGCAATCTGGGTGTTAACAAGCTCTGTGATTCTAACACACAAAAGTTTGAGAACCACTCATCCAATTCAACCATTCCACTGAAAAAAAGATATGAAGCCAGTAACTTCCTTCAATTCTTTTGTCAAGTTAGTGACCAGGGTCACTAGAAAGTTCCCAACACACTTTCAAAATGATTCTTAAATCATATATCGAAACCCAAGCAGTCCAGTAAGATCTTCTAGGCCGAATAGATTTATACTGCAGTATGGATTCTTCTATCACTGCTATAAAGTCAGGTAGGCAGGTATAAATTTGTCATGAGTAATTTACATTTAATATCTAAAAAGAGACGTCACATTACTGACCTCTCTACAAAAGCAGTAATTCAAACCTCACAGGCTTTTTTTTTTTGTTGTTTGGTTGTCAGGTTAACTTTTGTTGCTGTTAGCAGTGGTGGGTTTTGTCTTCTTACGGTTGTGTTTTGGTTCAGTTTTGAGGGCAATGGCGGTCATTTATGGAACACATTCGATAGTCTGTTTTTGGTTTGCGGGCTTGTCTCCCCCACCAGAAAGGTTCACACCGAAGGTGTTTTGAGAGCGTTCAAAGAGGACTAAGAGGCCAGAAACTGCTAAAAGAGAAAGTAAAACAGCAATCATAAACGGACTAAGAGGCCAGAAATTTCTAAAAGAGAAAGTAATATCTCCCCCACCCCGCAAAAAAGAAAACTTCGCATTTTTACCTTGGAATACATAGTATGATATTGTTTAAAACAACAAATTTATATTTTCATTTATGTTTTACTTACTCTAGAATAAAATTCGTTTTCATTTGTGGAACACCGTAGTGACAGAATGATAAAAAGCTAGCCCGTGTCCTAGGAACAAAGAGAGGTCTGTAATCCAGCCACACGTAGCCACATGAGATATGTGAGCCGGCTGTACAGCGTCGGGGGCAGACTGGGCATCACCTTCTGCAGGTTCTAGACCCCATGCTGAGCTGTGCCATCAACACCAATATAGCATCTACCACATGAAATGAAATCTGCGATTTTCAGCCTCCGGGCCCTTGTTCTAAACAGATGTTTGATGTATCTCATACCTTTTTATATAAACATTTCTAAGTCTAGTAGTGGTTATCTGCACAGCTAAAAATCTGTTTCTATTTACGTTTCACATATCCTCTTTGAGCAGTTTCTAACTTGGGTGTTAGGATTACCACAGCCTGAGACTTAGAGGTTTAAGAAACAAATATTTCCAGTCCTGTTTCTCACTGTTTTCTCAACGTCATGCCGTACTAGAGGTATTTCCAGTCCTCTTTTCAGACTCCATTAACATATATTAGTTACCTTCGACTTTACAAACCAAACTTTCTAACTAACATAGTTCAGTGCCTAATTTTATTTCTCTGAAGAAGACTCACGATCAAGTGCGTAAGGCAACAGAAACAACTACTCAATTTGATTTACACGTCTAGCTCTCTCTGTAGAACCTGAGAACAAGATCTTCTTGTGGCTTTATTTTCAATCCATCATCAAATAAAGTCAAAAATATCATCCAGTAACACCTTAAAACCTGTGAACAGGAAGCAGTGTTAAGCCCTAAAAAATGATTCAAGATTTTTCTTTTAAAGGCAGAACACCTTAGCCTAAGTGTGTACCTGTCAAATACTAGCCTTAACACAAACAAATCCTCTGTAATGTCACTGTCCAATACAGCAGCAACTAACCACTTGTGCCTAGATTTAAATCAACTAGAAATATAGTTCCCATGTAACACTAGCCAAATTTCAAAGTGTTCAATAGCCTTAAATGGCCAGTGTCTATCACTTCTAAGGCATTAAAAATGTATCATTATAATCCTTCTTCTGCCATCTGAGAAAACTCTACAGGACAGTGCTGCTTCACACATACCTCTGGTAATACTAAATCTGAAAGTTACAGTGCAGCGAAATGTGATGAAGCACCTGTGCTCGGCCACGGTACATAAAAGTGTGGCCTTTAGTAACATAGTGCCATTTCCTCCTTCCTAAATAAATTGAAAAGTGATCACATTGAGCATCCCTCCCCGTGTACATGAGTAACCAAGAAAAGTTGTACTGGACAACTGGCCAACTGAGAATGAAATTAGGAAACAAGTGCAAACCTGATTTCGCTCCATCCTTCCTATTCCTTCTATATGAATGTGTTGCCAGTGGTTTATATTCTCTGCGCAAAGATGTGTTTTCACCTAATAACAAGCAGTAGAGCTGTGGGATGGGTGGCACAGGTAAACACCAACACTAATAATGCAACTCAAGTTCCATCTGGACCGACGCAATAAACTGGAATGTCCACTGCATGCCAGTGACACACAGGCAAACAAAATAATCACCGTTCCCACCTTTCACGAGCTCTGTTTAGCAGGGGTGTCTAATATGTAAACAAAAACAACATGCAATTTTGTGATACATGCAGTGAGGCATGCGTGTACAAACATGGAGGAAACATGGGGAGGGTATTTTTTAAATGTTTTCTAAGAAAAAGCCAGGCAAAATTTCCTGAAGGGGGTACACAAAAAGCAGAAGAGAAAGCTAGGCAGAGCTGTGCAAAGAAACCACAAGTGGTTTGGTGATGCTGGAAAAAAGTGTTTTTGGTGGTCAACAAGGATGGGGATGAGAATGAGAAGAGGGACACCGAGCTAGAGAGCTACTTCCACGCCCGACTCCAACATGATGACGTTACTTAGGATTATGTCCAATTTGCCCCTGTAGGTCTGCAAACCTTCCTCACCAAAACTACAAGCAACATGAAAACCAATCCTTAAAACTTGATAAGTAATATGCTTAGTCTGCCATACAGCCAACATTATCAGATACCAATCACTAACAGGAATACCAAGACATTTCTCTGTGACACAGTACCATTTAGTAATACATATTTAATAATGAAAAAAAACCATTTTCATTAAACCTTCTGTTGCCAGGAGAAAACCTGTGTATCCTGTGAGTTTTATTTGGAATATCCCTACAAAATATATTAGTGAACATATTTTCAAAACAAACGGATTATCCCTGTATTTAAATATTCCCTCTGAGAGTTTACCTGACCAGGAGACAAAATAAATCAAAGGGAAAAGGGGCTGCAGAAGCTATGCTTCTCTATTCCAGACCAAAGTAGTTGTTTTCCTCCAAAATTTACAGGGCAGAACGTATGCTACTTTGTATACTGCCTTGTATTTTCTGCCGAATCCAGCCTGCAACCACCAGAACTGTATGATGCCCAGCAACCTAAAGGACGTCCGTGGCTGCTCTCATAAATCCTTGAAAAACATCTGCCTCTTCCTTTCACACGTATGTTCAAGTCTCAAAGCAAAAACAAAACAAAAAGCACCCATGGAATGTATTTTCTTCAAATTACTGGGATCCTCTCACTCTTTAAAAAAAAAAAAAGGCACTCCTTGAAATGCTGACAGTCTACAGGCCCTAACAGATTCACCGAGTGATTCTCCTCACTTTAATACAAAACTCTCCAGGTAAAAATACATAATATACAAATATATGTATATAAAATCGCTGGCCCATGAGCAAACATATAATTAGTCCTTGTCACACAAACATGTGGCCTTGAGGTAAAGGTACATTTTTAATGCAAAATATATAATGGTTGAGTATGAGTTCTGGAGTCAGCCTACCTGGGTACTAGTCAGAGATCGTCATTGACCAATTTTAACTTCGGGAGCTTCCATTTCCCCAACTGTAAAATGGGGAAACAATGTTACAACAAGTGCATATATCCATGTCTGCGTACTCCAAATGCCAGCACTTACTGACCCCACGTAGTGACTGATAGGAAGTGTTAGCTATTTTTACCATTTCATCTCTAAAGATGGTTTCACAACTCACTATTCCATCAAGCTGGTTACCTCTATAAGCTATCACTCCTCGTTGCACCAAAAACACTTAGGGAGCATGTTTGTTTGTTTGTTTGTTTTTTAAATGCACGAGGTCCAAGCCCTACTTGAATTTGGGTTCAATTGGTCCTGAATTGGGTGGGGCAGCGCAGTTCTTTCAAAGCTCTCGAGTTGCTTATAGGGTGCAGCCAAGATTAAGAACCACATAAAGGTCTCTGTATGCCGGAGATACACACGCAGGCAGTCTGTTTAATTTCTTCGGACCGAAGCAGCGCGCCCCCCCCCAAGCCGGATGAACAAGGCTCACCTAGATGCTGTGACGACGAACTCAAGAGTGCGGTGGGATTCTACACCCACGTCCGAATACTGCTCACGGAGGTTCAACTCTCACGACCTGACCCCCACCGAAATCGGTATCTGTCTAGGGCACACGCCCCCTCGCCCCTTCACCCGCAGCCCCCCGCGGGCGCCAGGCCCTCGGGACCGTGCGTCACCGGGCCCTCTCCTCCCGCCCACGGCACGTGACTCGACACGCGCCAGCTGCACGCGGACTCCAACAAAACAAAAACAGAGGAGGCCTGGCAGCCGGGCGGCGGCGGGGCGCGCGGGGGTGGCGGGGAACGGGCGCGCCCCCGCCGCCACTGCCCGGCGCCGCGGCCGCGCCTCGGGCGCCGCCGGCCGCGCGCCCCGGCAGACCAGGGGCGTAAGGGCAGAGGGCGCCACCCTGTTTACAGCCCTTGATCGGGGCGGTCCCCGCCCGGAAACGGTCTCCCGGGAGAGGGCCTCGGAGTGCGCACCCACCCGCGGGCCGGGACGCTGCTTGGAATAAAACCGTCGCCACGTCTCTGGGGTCGGGCCGCTCGAGTCTGCGCTCCTCCTCAGCCCACCGCCCACGGCGGCTTCGTGTCAGCCCCCGTCACGACTCTGCTACGCACTTCACCCTCATGGATCAGCTCCAGCGCTTCCGCAGACCACCCTCACGTGGCCGCCTCCTCCCTTCCACGGCTCTCCCCCCGCGACAAGGGCTGCGGACCCTCGCGCACTTAGGGACCCCGAGTCAGGTCCGACTCCGTGGGACACCACCCCTTTCGGACCACCCAGCCCACCTCTCCCGCCCGGGGGTGGAGGGGGTCATGCCTACAAGCTGTCAGAAGCCTATCTTTCCACATGACGAAGCTCACCCTCACCCTTAAACATCCCCACTCACCCTTCAGCCTAGCTTCCAGCTATATCAGATACTTAAAACCGCGGATAGGGGTAGGGTGGGAACGTACTGAATTTTCTAATTCGCCAAAAAACAAGACGCAGTTCTGCCCTTCCACTCGCCTTCAGACTTCCCTCGTCATCCCACCCAATGCAATTTACAAATAGAAATGCCCACCGCACACCTGCTACTCCACCTGCCCTCTGAACACCTGGAGACCCACTCAGCCCGCCTTCAGGAGCCCGCGCCCGGGGGAGGTGGGAGCGATACCATCCGGTTCCCAAAATTAAGAGCGAGTGAGAGGGGACAGGCATCCCCTCGCCCCGCCCGGGAGCGCTGTCTTCCCGTCCCGCAGCTCCAGAGCAAAGCAAGGTATCCTACGTCCCTCCTAGCGAAAGGAGTAGCCCGAGGCCCGAGAGCCGGGGTGCTTCTCCCTTTAAGAACCCAGGCACCGCGTCCTCTATAGGCACCCCCGCCCCCCGCGCGCGCCGCCTTATTTCTGGTAGACAGCAAGGTGGGGTTGGTGGGAGAAACGAGCGAGTGCTCTCGAGGTTCGGGATGTTGGTCTCCGCGGAGTGAAGAGGTGGGATCTCGAAATGGAAACAGCCTCCCTCCCTCCCCTCCTCCTCTTCTTCTGTTTACCTCAAGTTTGAATTTTATCTGCGCAACATTAGCTGGAATGCGGACATAGGAAAAAAAAAAAAACACTCTCAACCCGGCAGCAGCTCCGGAGGAGCCATGTGGCATCTAGCCACCTCAAAGGGGAGAAAAGTGCTCTTAGCAACACAAACATGGCGAAATCGCCCCGGCATTCCCGGGTAACGCCACGACCCCTACCTTCCCTTGCCCGGCTCCTGAACAACCGGCCGTGACCTGCGGCCCCCTCCCGAGGGGAGGCAGGGGGCCCCGGGGAGCCCGAGGGTGGAACCTTGGGGCGTGCGAAAGAGGAAATAACAGAGTCCGCAGTGGAAATGTTTCTGCTGGACCACCGGACCCATCCTCCTCGCCAGCAGCGAGCGGACGCCTCGTTGCCCCCGAAAGGTCTAAACGGAGAACAAAATTCCCACCCCAAAGTCCTGCCGTGGGCCGGCTTCCCCCACCCCTCGGAACTTACCTTTGGGGCTGAACATACGCTGCCGCTTAAATCCCTTTCTCTTTCCTGCCTCCAGAGCGAAACGCAAGAGGGAAAACGATGCGCATGTACATTTGTAGAGCATGTTCTTCTAGAATTTCCCTTTGGTTATCGCCGGGAGCGAGGACGCCTCCGGAGACAGGTGCAGTGCCGGCCGAGGCTGCCGGCTAAAAGTTGTTCTCTCCGCGGAGGGCGCCGGGGTCCCCGGGCCGGGGCTGAGGACCCGCTCCCCCAGCGCCCCCCTCCCGTGGCGTCGCCCCCTTCTCGCGGGCTGCTGCTGCGAGCGGCTCGGCTGCAGGGGAGGTGGCGTAGTTTCTCTTCCTCCCACCTCTTCTCACTCACTTGTTTTCGTAGCCGTGGGCTCCCCTAATGCTTTCCTCTCCACAACGTTGTTTCATTATATCATGTCCATCATGTGACACCGGAGAGGCTTCTCTATGGAAACTTAAAGGGACTCCCACGTGACTGCAGCAGCAGCGGCAACAACAGCAGCAGGACTGGCGGCGGAGGACGCGGCGTTTGTACCGCCGCCCACCGCGAGCCCCTCGCAGCATCCCGGAGCTGCTGCTGGCGCCGCCGAGGTCCCGATCCGGCAGCCAGGGCATCCGGGAGCTGTGGCGTCTGTGCGTGCGTGCAGCCTTCGCTCGTTACATAGGAAACCGAACAGAAGGAGCGTCCTCAAATCCTTTTCTACAGTCACAAAACCCACGCTCTGCTAAAATGACATTTCGTGGCTCCGACTTTATTTTCCACAAGAGCACTGAGTTCTCTATTAGATCTGATTAAATGTTACCAAATCAAAAAGAAAAGCCGGATTTGTACCTGCGTAAGTTTAGCCGGCTCTTGGGTTGAAGAACAGAAATGACAAAACAATAATAACAGAAATAGAATCAGGCATCTGATACATAATTACCATCACCACCAGCTTTAAAGCTTTCTGGAATTACATTCCTCTGGTAACTGTGGATGATGCTTGCAGGAGGCAAAATGCGATGCAGTTTTTCTCTTCCGCAGCTATATTAGGGCTTTGTTGCTGACAACAGTGAAAACTTGTTTGTGTCAGGAAGTGAGGTACGAAGATATGACCTGGAAGGTACAGACAAAACCAAAGTGGCAGTTTTTTTTTCATCACTTTCAGACCACATTCTTTGAAATGGGGAGAAGCAGCTGGTCTGCTGTAAAATGCATAGAGTGTGGTTGGTGGGAAATAAAACAATCAGGAACACATATTTTCCCTTAATCATATTTTACATGCTAGACACTAGAAATTATAAATGTGGGGGGGGGAAGCATGTGCATTATTACCGATAAGTTTGTCATCATTTCTAACATTGAACAAACACTTTGAAAAACTTATTCAAGTCCAGTGATGTGTGGACACTGTAACATCAGTTCTGAGTGCCTTTGGTATTATTGATTCACAGCCCCTTTATAGGCTGATGACTGTAACTCAAATCTCTGCCTTAAAGTTTGTGTGGACCAACTTTACATGGTGGAGGGGGTCATGACTACAAGCTGTCCTGTAAATCTAAGTTGAATAGCTATTTCCATGCTTCAGTTCATGCTTTTCCATTTATAAGGAAAACTCCCTGTTTGGATTGGCAGAATTATCTAAAACTTCCCAGATAAGTGAAGAGTGGGGTGGAAGATCATCCTTTCTTTTGGCTTTGCCTTCACTGTGTCTCTTCCCACCTCATCACTTTACCTCATCAGCCATGATGAATGAGCTCCACTACATCCCTTCTAATAATTCCATAATACGTCCCCCAATTTTTACCGTCCAATCCAATGCGTACTTCTTCCATCCCTCTTCCCTTTTCTGCCCTTGCCGCCCCATTCAGCCCCCGTGCTGCCTGGGTACTCAGTTCAGGCCTCCCCAAACTCCCTCCCAGTCCTCCTTCCGCTGCAGTTCCCCCAACTCCACCCCACCCCACCCCGCTTTCCAGCCGGGTCTCCCTTCTTAGCAACTCTACCCCCTTACCTCTCTTTGACCTCCTTTATCTCCTTCACAGCCTCGCCCTTGACTTCTCGGCCTCCTCTTCCCCTTCTTTACCTGCAATACCCTGTCCCTACTGGGGTCTCCTTCACACCCTTCTCTCTGGTCCCATCACTTCTGACGCCAAACCCCAGCATTCCTCAACAGCTCGGCCTGGTCGGCTTTAGGCAGAGTTTGTGCCCGTGCCCCAGGGCGGGGAAAGGAGTGTGAGGTGCAAAGTGGGGGCAAGAACCCCCCCCTCGGCGGTGGCCCCCCGCCTCGCCTCCCTCCGCCCCCCCTGAGCCCGGGTGGCGGCGCTTCCTGGGCGGATGGTTGGGACTTGCTGCAGCAGCTGCGGTTCTGCTGTGTCATGCAAGAAGGAGGGCGGCCGGAGCTGGAGGGGGAGGAGGGGAGGAACCTGATCTCTCCGGTAGCGAAGGGCTGGAGGCAAACACCGAGCTCCCCCAGAGCCGCCCGGGAGCAGGGAGGGCTCCGCTACCCCGGGGGGCCCTCCCCGCGGGGCAGATGGTAAGTGGGGCGGCGCAGGTGGTCGCCTTGGGAAGGGAGCGCGCAGGGGGGTTAGGTGGGGAGGTGGGGAGAACCAGGAGTCACCCGGGCCAAACTGAAGGATCCCAGTGTCCAGCTGAAAGGAGCCCAGGCCACAATAAGGGTGACCAGAAAAACGCAGTAATAATTACCATTCGAATAACGGCCCGCAGTTGACTCAGGCTACACGGAAGAGTCGTACATCCCGAACCCAAGACAGAGCTAGAAGCAATCATTCGGGGTCTGAGACCCATCATCCCATCAGCCCTGGCTTTTTAGAGTACAGCTGGGTAGCAAAAACTCAACATATACCATACGTTTTCCTATAGCCGGGCTGAGCTCTACGAGTTGCCTTGTTTAAAACTAGGAAAGGGTATGGAAACCTGCCCAGCCCTACTTTAGCCCCGAGAATAATGCTCTTGGCCAGGGGCCTCAGACAAACAGCCACTGGTGCAATTAAACAATCAATAGGAAAAATAGCTTCATTCCCCTCACCACCCTCCTTCAACCTGGGTAATTCATTCTGCTTAAAGGAGAAAGAAGACTATGCGCATACATTCCCTCCCCTGTATCCCCGTCAGCCTCCACCCACCACAAACTGTCGACCCCACTATTCACCGCACTTGCGGACCGTGCTTCAGGTTGGATGAGGGGACTGCCGTGAGCTCTGAAAAATTTCACCTCCGCTGCTCTTTACCATAGGGGGTTCAGAAACACAGAGCTAACGGAGACAGTGAACTTAGGGACAGGCTGGGCACTTCCAAACATTTCTTAGTTCACCTGAGTGCTATTCTCAGGGAAACATTATTATTATTGTTGTTGTTGTTATTATTATTTTTTTAATTCCTTTCCATTTCACTCCTGAAAGATTCAAAGCACTTTCTAAAGTTTTTTTGGGTTTTTTTTTTTAATGTCAGTTGTATGTTTAGAAAAGTAAGGGGTTGGCGGGATTAACAGAAAAGCTAATGACTGTCTCAAAAGCACATGCTGTTGCTAGGGAACTCGGGCTCATCTGCTTTCTAATCATTAGCATGTTCCGTGGAAGTCAAACTTCTCAGGGTGTTATTAAAATGAATGGCATTTGGTTAAAAGTGTTCTTACTTGTGTTGTAGCATCCTGGATTATTATCGATCGCCTCACACCCACACATCTTGTTTTCCTAATTTGATTTCTGTATTTGCGTCACTGCCAGGGACATGCAGACTAGACCAGTCAGGTTCACTTCCTGTTTCTCAGAACTGGTGTATATTTGGTCTCGTAGCACTAGCTGGTAAAACATTATCACACTGATCCTCTTGGAAAGAAATCTGCTTTTAGTGAAAACAAATTAGCCCAATTAAATACTAATTCCCATGGAAAACGTCATCATTTGAGGAACAAAGTAGCCTGCCAGTTGCCATTTGAGAAAAAAACCATTCTTGAAATGTAAAGCCTAGAAAAACCCATCATCTTTATTTTCTTTTACCCAGAATCTTCATTCCTCAGCAGTAGAACCAAAACAAACCCAAGTAGAGAAATTTACGGATGATATTTCTAAAATGAAGCTCAAAAAAATACACATTGAAGCTGGGGAAATCTTTTAGACCAAATTAGGCATAGAATTGGATGGAATCCAGGCCCCAGGAGCACAAATAAGCTTGAGTTAGCATTGGGGCACTCAGGGAACAGAGTGTGATCACAAGACTACACGACAAATAGGAGCCCATCACTTTGTGTACTAATTGTCTTTTACCAATGTCCTATGTCCTTTGCTCTTTTTTTTTTCAGTTCCTTCCTCTTTATAACAAGGATATCACAAAGGCAATATCATAAAAGATAAGCATTATATAAACAGTTCAGTGGGTTCTGATGTAGATCATTTGTGTAGGTGGAAAAATAGGGTGTATATGGCATTCAGGGAAGGTCAGCTGACTGAAAGTTAGGAAATTTGCTTCCACTTCTCCTACCGACCCACGACCTTGGACGAGCCAGTTCAGGTCTTCCACTGTCAGTTTCCTCACAGACGCTTAACAACAGTGCTGGATGGTCTAAAAGATGTCCAAGTTTCCTTCCATTTACAAAATTCTGTGATTATATTGAACTCACTACATAAAAATTTCAATTTTAGTTGGATTTTGCAATGGTAAATTTTGACATTGAAACTTTAATACCTATCCATAGAGACCTTGGAGGAAATTGTAATGGGAAATGATTTGCTGTTGATACATCATTTTTTAGAGTCAGTTGTCAGACAATCAAATGAAATCGAACTTACTCTCAAAGCACTTGCTCTCTGCTTGTGTGGTGGTGTTATGGAAGTGACAGAAGGGATAGAAAATTGTATAGAGAGGGCTTCAGTCATTTTAGGTTTAGTTAACCCAAAATACTTTGATGAGCAAAACAATGGCATGATGAAGAAGGGCTACATAAGAAATAATCATCTGACTCTTCATGGAGCTAATAATCTATTTACCAGTATTTTAATTAGTGATAGGCAAGCATATAGCACAGATTTTTAAAATTTTCCGATTCACGATATTAAGAAGTAGCATAAACAAATGTGAGATTTGTACCAGAGAGAAAAGACCTGACTGTGAAACCCAACTCTGCCACTTTATTTATTCATTACTGAGTGCTTGCTCTGAGTCAGGTACTATGCTAGGCACTGGGAATACTGGGAAAGATGAATAAGACAGTCTGCTCCAATATTGTCAGGCCCTGACAATAATGATGAGACAAATGAATACAGAGTTGATCCCACAACAGTGAGATGATATCAACAAGAGAGCTCAGCAGAGGGGTACCCAACCATGACTTGCCATAGTCAGGGTCCCAAACCATAGAAGATGAATTTGGAAAGGAGTTCTGAAAGATAAGTACAAGTAATCCAGACAAATGGACAAGTTAAAGAGAAATGTGTTCCAGGCAAAGAAAGTACTATGTATGAAGTCCTGGATGTAAAAAGTTGTACCCAGAGAGTTGAGGGGGAAGAACAGTACCCAGTAAAGCCATAGATTCTCAGTAAATACATTGTGTGACTGCATGACAGTAGTACTGAAAATACTACTACTACAGCAAGGTCTTGTTGATCTTTCCAAAAAGAAATGTCTTTCTAAGAAGTTTCGATTTATCCTAAGGCCAGTGGAGGACCACTGATAAATTTTAAGAAGCATGTCCATGTTAGAAAGGTCGCTGCAGTTTGAAGAATTTATTAGTGTGAGTAACACTGTAAACAAGGAGACTAGTTAGATTAGCATTGTAGGAAAGAAATGACGTACATCTAAACTGAGGCAGCAAGAATCGAAATGGAGAAGGATTCAAAACATATTTGAGATATAGAACAAACTGAATTTTATTATTGATTATATCTGCAGGATTAGGAATAGAAGGAGATTTATGACTTAGGTAAATGGGAGTATAGTAACACTCTTTGCCAAGATGGGGACTTCAGGAGGAAACATATAGGCTGAGAAAGGAAGGTAATTAGTTTAACTTGAAACATGTTAAGTTTGAAGTGTCCGTGGGATCAAAGTGAAGCTTTCTGTGACCTAATTGACCAGGGGAGTCTAGAACTCAGAAGAGAGATCTAGGCTGGAATCATCAGAATGTGATGGTTTATGGAAGTAGATGAAATCCCCAACAGCAAAGTTGCAGCATAAGAAGACAAAAGGGCCTACTCTGAAACCTTATGAAAATGCCCACATTTAAAAGGTGAGGAAGCAAACATACACAGGAAGAACATCCAGAGAGGTATCAGGACCAGAACAAGTAGTTTCAGAGATGCCAAGGAGGAATTGTCAACAGTATTAAATGCTAGAGAAAGGTCAAGAAAAATAAGGACTGCAAGTCTTCAGCCTTAGCAACAAGGAGGTCATTGTTGTGTTTGGCAAGAAGGAGTTTATTGGGGTAGTAACCAAACTGCAGTGGATTGAGGAGTAGAGGAGGTAGATAGAAGTTCTTTTGGATAAGGACTAAAGGGCAAGTGGGGGTGGGGGCAGGCATGGAGAATAAAGGTATTGGGAAAAGAATTAAATCGTGATCTGTTAAGGCTGCATAGGGAAAGAAGGAAGTAATACAGTAATACAAAAATTTGTTATTCTTTGAAGTCTTCTCCTTCAAATTAAATGGCATGACCATTCACCGAATGCTCAAAAACACAAAACAAAACAACAAACATGTAGACATTCATGATGCTTCTCTTTCTCTCAGTCCTCACAACCAGTCCATCTGGAATTCAGGTCAACCCTACCTCCAAAACATTTTCACAATCTGTTTCTTTCTATCTGTATTGCTACTGCCCTAACACAAGCACCATCTTCTGGGCTTCCGTAAATAGCTTTCTAATTGGTTTTCCTGCTTCCACTCTTGCTCCTATTCCCCACAGCACAGCCAGAGTGACATAAAGCATAAAACATAAATCAGATCTTATTGCTTCTCTTCTTGCAATCCTTACATGTCTTCTGATTGCACTTAGAATAAAGCCCAGAATCCTTTGCTGGCCTACAAAGCCCTGCATGGCAATGCAGACCGCCTCTTCAGTCTCGTCTCCCACCACTCTCCCTCAACTCCAATCACATTGGCCTTTTTTCTACTCCTCAAACACATTGGATTTGCTCTTGTTTTAAAGGGCTCATCCCAAATATTTCATTTTCCTGAAATACTCTTGGTCATTCCGATTTCTCTTTAAATGTCACCTCCTCACAGAGGCCTTTCCTGATCGCCCTTACTAAAGTATCTTTCTCTGTCCACCTTTCCAACCACCCTATGTAAAACTTAATTAAGATTTGTTTTTATTGTTTATGGTTGAGAAGCCCTCTAAAGTTAACCCAATGGCCCATAGTAGGCATTTAAAAATGTCCACTGGATGTTTATAGAAAGAAAAAGAGAGGAGAAACAGATTATTAGAAATTACAAGCATCGAGGATCAAAGCCTGGTGTGGTTGAGGAATGGCCAGTGATCATGGACTGCTAGGCTTTTAAGATTCCAGAAGTGGAAGAGTTAC